AAAGGCACCAGGCTTTTTGTTTTAGATACGTTCACACGCATGCCGGCCACGTCGCACTCGGCTGTGAACCTTTCCAACGAGCATTGTAAAGTAGTTTCAGAAGATGTCAACAAAACAAGGTCGTCAACACTCAGCGCCCTTGCTGCGCTTGACTATTCTATCCATGTACAACACAGATAGGAGAGGGGCAGAACGCAGCCTTGGCGGAAATTAGTGTCAATGCAGGAAGGTCCTGAGTTAACTCTATTTACTGTGATGTAGCATCTGCTATCAACATGTAGAAAATGAATGGCTCGCAACAATCAGCCATCGATCCCATATGTCTACAGAGAAGACCACAGCTTGCGGCGCGATATCCGGTCAGAGGCTTTCTCTATGTCCACAAAGCACAAGTGAACCAGATGAACGAACTCCCATGATTTATCGACAATCTAGCGTAAAGAGAACATCCCATCAAATGTGATTTGGACAGACCTGAACCTACATAGCTCCTCTTGTATTTCAGAGTCACTCGTTTCGCGACGCCTCCTTTCCAATCTTTCTAACAACTTTGAATACATCTCTCCTTGAAAGATTAATAAGGAAATGTCCATATAATCTCCCTCTATGCCCGCAGCCACTTCAGTCTGAAACGTTAGCTACAACATACCTTGATCGCCTAATGCCTTAAGGATCTTAAGGAGAATATCATTGATTCCAGCAGCCTCGATTTTAAAGATTTCCGTGACTTCCTCCACTGAAAAACTGATGATGTCCGTTGTCTGCAGTTCTTCATGAGAGTCTTCCATTAGTTGCTCAGAGATAAAGAGGTCCTTAAAGTGCTCTCTGCATCCCCGAATTATGTCCTCATCTTTCGTAACAGGACGCCCGCAACTGTCGTTCAGTACTGTTAGATTATCCTTCTTGATATCTCAAAGGCGATGGATATCTGTGTGTCTGAAATGGTCCGAAAAAGGCGCGAACATCGAAACTGATACTTATTACCGAAATTGCATTGTGGTTACAGAAAGCTTCCTAGTTATGCATAACCTGCTGAATTCAGCAAAGTATTTGATAGAAACGACAACTCCTAATTATATATACACTGACAACAGATTAAATGACTGAGTGACCTTGCACAGTCAGCATAATGGAATCACAAAAAAAGAAAAATCATGGAGATGCACAGTCTGACAACGGCATCGCATTGTTCTTACAAAGAGATCTTTCCGCTGTTAGGCAATACGAACGGCGATAGTCCAATATCTGATACTGATGACCATGTGGCAATGACTTTTTACTCACGATTACAGACCGAGTTCAAACGTACTCATATCGCACAGATATTGCAATAGAATTGTAATAAGAAATTTATAGGTTTGGCAACAGCATCGTATTTTAGTTACAGACAGCTAACCCAAAGAAATATAGCATAATGAGCTGAATCACGCAGTTCATGCAAGTGACCACCGTCCAGCCATACAGATTCTATGCGGCGACCGCAGGACAGAACAATGGCAACGAACAGCGGTCGCACCCAGATGTCATAAACGGTTCTGCAAGTATGTTCGGCCGTGATCAATGACTAACATCTCATGAAGCAACGGGAAGGAGGGTTGAGAACCCATCCAAAATTCAGAAAATGCTACAAAATGGATAATTTTCAAATTGAACAAATAAATAAATTGAGGGTAGTGAAGAAGTTGGTGAACTGACTGTGCTTATAAATTCGATCACAAAGTGGTCAAGGAACAAACGCTGTCAAGTCTGTTGGATCGCAGTGGCTTCAGCGCACTGACTTACGAAAGGAAAGTTTATCAAAGTTCGAGTGTTGGTCTTCCTTCAGTTTTATGATTGGGCCATTCTTTTCATGAAGTTAATGGTGGGGCGTTGATCTCTATTTCCATGTCTTCATGATGAAGAGACATGGAACCAACAACACTGAAATGTTTCAATCGCTTGTCACTTTTACTGAATAAATATCGTACCGTAGTCACGCCATCCCTCCTGGTTCTAGCGGCTTATGATACCGTTTAAGCAGGTCATGGATCAATGATATTTCAGCACCTGCTGTGTAGGGATGAAAGCTAGCTGTATGCGTGCAAACCCATATTATTGTTGTTGATTTCGATCATATCCGCCTACGGATCGAATCGAGGTACCTCCGTTATTATTCGAACATGCTTCTGTCCTTCCTACCACAATGATTCTATTATAGACCCAACCATATAGGTGCCAAAATACCGTGGAGACGTGAGCTGCTTAAACTGACTATGGGGCTACGAAAAACAAGAGGTACCAATCAAAAGAAATGACAGAAGTAACTGACGGTATCCGAAACTCGTTGTTTGCTCATAAAAAGAAAGCAGAGTTTAATATGCTACTGAAGTGTTTTAAACACCTCCGCAGTTGACGGTCCCAAGCCCGGATGAGAGAGCAGGAGGGTTGGAGAAGGTGGCAAGCCTCCGTAAAATTTAGCATTTAGCCACTCATGGTATTGAAGCCATCGAAAATCATACCGGCTCGGTCGTCCCCGGGTTAACAAGGGCCGCGCACGCAGTTGGGGGACTGAGGCAGACTGCGAAAAGTCAGCGATCAGAACCTGCTCATTGCCTTCCGCCAGCCAGGGGCGTGGCAGCACAACGACGGCTGACGAAGACCGACGCAACGACGACGAAGATATCAGTCAGCAACGGGTCGCTAAAAGATGAACGGAGGAGGCAGACAGCGCGATGCCATTACAGCACGTCAGAAAAGGCTCCACGGAAACGACACCACCTGGAGGAGGCAGACAGCTCGATGCCATTACAGCACGTCAGAAAAGGCTCTACGAAAACCAAACCAACAGTGGCAGCTTAAAGTCGGAAATTGGAACATATCCTCACTCAGAGGAAAAGAACATGAATTAGTTGATGAGGCCAC